TAAATAAATATAATAAAAAAGTAAGTTTACCTTATGAAAACTATAATAAAATCTACTTATATTATAGAATGAAGAATGTGAAAGTAATTTGATGCAGTTTGATGTTTGCATTCAGGGTATTTATAAGGGAGGGGATGGGTGACCGAGATAGTTGACTCAGGTAATAATGGAGTGCGTAATAATTCATGAATAATGGAAGAAACGCCTCATGATCTGTGCATTTCTTGCACGTGTCAAATTTCCCAACGAACACGTGTTTCATGATCTGCGCCTTTGCTATGTGATGCTAACTCGTACAGGACCCCACGAAGACATGCTTTATGATCAGTATTTTTCCACCGTGACGCCATTTCAGACAAAACTCTACAAACACAAGTCTCATAATCCTCGATTTTTCATAAAGAGTGTTAAATCGATAATATTTTAAAAATGGCGTGTGACATGTAATATTTCGTTATTAAAGTGTTATTTGAGTAAAGTTGCCTTGAAAAAGTGGGTATCATGAAAAAGCTTCCTCAAAGTTAAAAATTATAGCTCGGATTTCACTTTTCTTAATTAAACAGTTAATATATCTTTACTTTTTACTGTACTAAAGTGTGTGTTATTACCTATTTGGGATGAATATTAATATTGTATATCAATTTTCTTTAAATCTATAATATGATATATATATTTTTTAACAATCGAAAAGAAATAAGTAGGCAAGAATATATACTTGAAAAAATGGGGATAATTAGGCTTTATATGAAGGTGGGGATTATTAGGATTTTATATATATGAAAGTGGGGATGATTATATATAATTACACAAGGGTAAAAAATGTTTAATTTTTTTTCTAGAGAAAGTCTTCATAGGGAAGTGAGGTAATACGAGAACAAATCAACAAGTGAATATGTACTTGAAAAGTGGGGATAATTAGGATTTAGAATATATATAATATGAAGGGGGAAATAATAATAATAATAATGTAAAAGTCTTGAAGGCCTTTATTATTTTAAGTTGATGTATTGAATGGTCAGTTTGAGAACTTCTGATTGTATTTATTTTGAAATGATCATCAAGCTCAGTTGGTAGAGTATAATATTTTTAATCTTGAACTCGTGGGATCGAGTATCATGGAAGACATTTTATAATTTAGAGATCTCCTACGAAAATTATTCTCAACTTAATGTTGCGGATAATTTATTATTTTATCTCCCTTATCCTATTACATATCAGAATAAAGGACATCCATTTGTTTGTATTTATCCTATAGAATTTGACTGGTTAGGCAGTCCAGGCGAAACTTAGCCGAAAAAGCCAAGGCTGTAGGTCTAAAGCAGCACATGAAAACCATGCCAATAATGAAGAAACGCAGCCACACATGACACACTACACGTTCACCGACTACATTTCCCAATCTAAGAATTTTCAATTTCCAGCGTGGTCATATTCTCTCTTTTATATTTGTTAAGTGTGGGTTTCCCAATTGCAGTATACCATCAATAAATCCATTTTCTTACCATCGAGTTTTGTAGGAAAAAAGAAGGAAAGTTAACAATGGCAGAAACCCAATCTCAAGGAGCCCCTACGCTGTTCTCTCCTTACAAGATGGGAAAGTTTAATCTTTCTCACAGGTTTGTGTCCACTCTCCAACTTTTACTACTCTGTTTTTCTGATTCAGTTTGCGTGCGTGTTTGCATCGAATTCCGTGATCTAAGGGGGATCATAGATCCTTGTCAAGGGCATGTTCCTTCACGATCTCCTCGGATTCTGAACTTTCCGAGAAGAACACGGTAGGGTAATTTCGTGGCAATTCATAGGATTTGTTTCTGATGGCAGGGTGGTTCTGGCGCCCATGACGAGATGCAGGGCGTTGAATGGAATACCAAGGCCGGCGCTTGCTGAATATTACACCCAGAGGACGACTCCCGGCGGCTTTCTCATCACCGAAGGGACACTGATCTCCGACACCGGCGCAGGGTAATTTCGTAACTCGATTTTGATGATGAAATTTCATACGAGTCACTCGCATCATTCCATCAATATTGGTCTGCTAGTGCTGGTCCCATCACCGCATTACCCCCCAACTTCGTGCATTTTAGGGCCCACTTACTCTTATCTTAATAAGTTCATTGCCGACTATAACCATAAATTGATTTAGAGTGAAGTTTTACTTACAACTATGGACAGAAGATAATACTGTATGCGAATAATGGCACCCTTTTTGCCTTTTTCACTCCAAACTCAACACCGAGTTATAATATAATAGTTTACCAATATTATTCCTCATTTGAATTAGTTTAGCTATCAGTTTTTCAGTCCCTGTCTCTGATACAACCTATTCACTTATGCAGACATTCCCTTCCCTGCTACCTTCCTAAACTTCATTGAAATTGAAACCCTTTTGTCACGTTTACTTTAAGCTTTTTCACTCATATCCATATGTGTTTGAGAGCGTTTCTTTTGTCTGATATTGCAACGTTGAAGCAGGTTTCCTCATGTTCCTGGAATCTACAATGAAGAACAGGTGGAGGCATGGAAGCGGATCGTGGATTCTGTTCATGCCAAGGGAGGCATCATTTTCTGTCAACTGTGGCATGTAGGCCGAGCATCACATTCAGGTAACTTCCCCAATCCCTTGGTACCCTTTTTGCTTTTTACTCTCTTTTTGGATGTTGATGAATGCATGTTTATTTGGTTTTTGAATAATGAAACAGTGTATCAACCTGGTGGAGTGGCGCCGATATCAACAGATAAGCTCATCTCAGATCGGTGGAGAATTCTTATGCCTGATGGGATATGGCATATATCCAAAACCTCGACCACTTGAAACCTCAGAAATACCAGAGGTTGTAGAGCATTACCGCAAGGCAGCCTTGAATTCCATTCGAGCAGGTTAGTTACACATTAAACATCAAATTCTATGCCCTGAAGATGTATTCATTTCAATTTATGGGTTTGATGGAGGCCACCAGACAAAGTCAGTCTTATCCTTAAATGGCAAACTGAATTTACAAAATAATGGGTTGCACTTTACATATACACAGCTTGAGCATTGTTGTATCGTATGATGTCGGATTTCATAATCTAACTTGCTAAAAAACTAGTTTGACGTATAAACCTGACTTGTGTTTTTGGTCATGAATACTAGAGAAAAGATCATGCTGTTTAGTTTTTCCTTACATTTTGTCAATATCGATCAACATATATTTATTAGTGTGTAATTTCTCATCCCTACATTTATACGACACACTATAAATCATTAAACTAGCAGGTTTGATGGAATTGAGATTCATGGAGCACATGGCTATCTCATTGACCAATTCTTAAAGGACGGGATCAATGATCGTACAGATGAGTACGGTGGATCATTGGCAAACCGTTGCAAATTCTTAATGCAAATTGTTCAAGCAGTAGCTTCAGCCATTGGTGTAGATAGAGTTGCTGTCAGAATTTCGCCTGCAATTGATCACCTAGATGCAATGGACTCTAATCCGCTCAACCTAGGCTTGGCAGTGATTGAGAGACTTAACAAGCTCCAGCTACAGCTGAGGTCAAAACTTGCTTATCTTCATGTGACACAGCCTCGTTATCATGCTTATGGGCAAACCGAATCAGGAAGGCACGGGAGTGAAGACGAGGAAGCTTATTTAATGAGGACAATGAAGAGGACTTATCAGGGAACTTTCATGTGTAGTGGTGGATTCAATAGGGAGCTGGGAATGCAAGCTGTGGCTGAGGGTGATGCAGATCTGGTATCGTATGGCCGTCTTTTCATCTCAAATCCTGACCTAGTCTTGAGGCTGAAGGTTAATGCACCGTTAAATAGGTACATCAGGAAGACATTTTATACTCAGGATCCTGTTGTCGGATATACAGACTATCCATTCCTCAGTGAAGAGAAAGGTACCCGAGTACAGTCACGCCTTTGATGTGAAATCGCCATCGATCGTTAAACATCAGACATTTGCCATAAAGTTGATTGAGCAATCTCTATGTTAAAACTATATAACATGAGACATTTGCCATAAAGTTGATCGAGCAATCACTATGTTAAAACTACAAAACATGAGACATTTGATGTGCCTGCATTCCTGATATGTAAGAAACCATGTTATATGTTACAAAGACTAGGCTACCCTGTTTTAGCTTAATTTCACGTTCAGAAACTCCAGGTGAATCCTTTAAAATGGATAAGTACCTTGTTTCGACAAAACAAAAAAGTATATGGTAAAAATGATTTTGCTTGTTAGAAGAAAAGAAGCTCAAATTGTTGCTCTAACTCCAGCTCGTTTTATGTTGTCGCATAACAATGCAAGAGAATAGAAGAAAATTTACTTCTAAAATCATGCTAGTGTCGCACTTCAAAGAGAAATCGAAACTGTTTAGAATCAAGTTATGACCCGACTTTCAGAGTCTCGTATTAGCCGTCTAGAATTTCTTTTATAGCCCTTACTAAGCTCACTATTAACGTACCGGTGGAGCCGATGGACCACCTATTTATATCACTTCCATTATCTTTTTAAATCCCCAAACAATAATCTAGGTTTTCCATGCTGGTTAGGCCCTAATAGCAGGCTATGTTGGTGTCTCTAAATAGAAAACTTCAATTTGGTATTACCAAATATGTGATTGCATAGAAAAGAGGCAATATCACCATCAGGAACTTCCTCAAATGCAGGATAAGTACTGTTCTATCATCTTCAATGGATACACATATTTGGAAGCACCAATTCAACGAAAATTCGTGCTTCATTAATGCTATAAGATAGTCGGAGGGCATCGATTACATTTGTAACTTCAGTAAATGAGAGTGACCCAAATGGATTCGTAGCCTCGACGTCACGATTAGATGCAAAAGTTTAATTTTTTACTATTATTCATATCAAGGAGTTTCATTCAAGAATCTTCCGTAAATTAGATCTTATGTTGGACTCAAAATTTGTGTACAAATTATCATTCTATATCAAGGATGAACCCATTCTTCAAGCTCAACTTGAAACATTATTACCCCTAAACAGAGTGGCAAAATGATGGTTCTCCGAAGCCTTTTCGCTTTATCTTTCCTAGTGTCCTCCTCCAACGCAGTAGATTTCTGTGTCGAGGACTTAGATGCTAATCAAGGCCCTGCCGGCTACTCTTGCAAGAAGGCCGAAACAGTCACTGTACACGATTTCATATTCTCCCTCGGTGCCACAGGCAACACTTCGAACCTCATTAAAGCTGCCGTGACACCAGCCTTTTCGGCTCAATTCCCTGGTATTAACCGACTTGGCATTTCAGTAGCCCGTCTGGATTTGGCTGTTGGTGGTCGGGTGCCTGTGCATACACACCCCGGGGCGTCGGAAATACTCATTATTCAAGGCACAATTTGTGCTGGATTCATATCCTCAACCAACAAAGTTTACTTCAAATCTCTCAACGAGGGAGACGCCAATCACGCCATAGCTTTTCCACAAGGTTTAATGCATTTCCAAATCAATATAGGTAAAAGTAGAGCCTTGGCATTTGCATCCTTCGGCAGTGCAAACCCAGGAATATATACCATGGACTATGCCTTGTTTGCAAATAACTTGCCCACTGACATACTACGAGAGACTACTTTTCTCGATCCTGATCAGTTTAAGAAGCTGAAGGGTGTTTTTGGTGGAACTGATTAAGATATCTAAATTTTTAGAGTTTTACGTCTTCCTTAAATTTCGTGCTTCCTTATTTGTTTGTCTTCTTGTCTGTCGTCGTTTCTTTGAATAGAACTAGCAATAAAGTGAGTCTTGTTGTGAACTATGTAAGCACTGCATTTAATCTACCTTTTCTATACCAAAGTCAAGATATTAGAGGATTAAATATAGATAATAATAAAATGTGAATTATGATCGAACTGTTAATTTATCAATTTAAAATTTAAAATTTAGAATCAGGTTCTGTTGTGCCTCCTTTGGATCTCCTCCAAAAGTCACACCTCTATTAGTAGTCCTTCGCCTATCGTACGTTGAGCTCTTTAGAATTCTTCGAAGGCTCCAGAGTTCTATATTCTTGAAGTTCCTCAAAGTTTTCAATTCAATGTCTTCCAGACAGTTACAAGCCTTAACATGATATTTGACAAGCTCACCTGATCTGTCGAAAGTAAACCCGCAATCTGATACCATATCTATTTGCTCTGTCAGTTTAGGGACAGATCATAACTTTATGTATGATACCAACACTAAGATTAATATAAAAATTCATCGTGTATAGTTGAAGAAAAAAATCCTAAACTCTTTCTCTCTACATATCGTACAGCTTCTTCAGTTCATCAAAATCACCGATTATCTCCCCAAACTAAAAAGATGAACAGCCTACCATCATCATAATTCTACTTTCTCCATAAACAGGTTTGATTTATAACATTGAGACTAGCAGAGACCTAACAACTATTCAAATAAAAAAAATCTGTGGCCAAAACTTAATTTGTCCAATCTTTTTCACTTTATCATTCCTATTTTCCTCCTCCGGGGCAACAGACTGCTGCGTTGGGGGGCTTAAATGCTCCTCAGCCTGCAGGTTAATCTTGCAAGAAGGCTGAAGCAGTCAACTTAAACGATTTTGCTTTCTCCGGCCTTCGGTGTCATGGACAACGCTTCAAACCTCATAAAAGCTGCCGTAATACCAGTCTTTTCAGCTCAATTCTTCGGTGTTAATGGACTTGGCATTGAAATGACTCGCTTGGTATTGACTGCTGGTGGTGCCTATGCATACACACCCCAGAGCCTCGGAAGTCCTTGTTATTTTAGGCACAATTTGTGCCCATGCAAATTTGTCCAAGCAGTAACTTCAGCCATTGGTGCCTATGCATACACACTCTTGTATTCATGCGCAATGAAAAAATAAATTAATTTGGGATTTATGCTCATATTCAATGCGTGTAAAATCATGTTTTAATTTTTCTCTTACAAACCTGATAACGAAGTGTTCTTTTATATTTAAACCAAAACTAATAGTTTTCATAAAAAATATCTACAAGTTGAAGCATCTGAAGTAGATATGTCTTTTACAATGCGAATCAAGAAGGAAAAGGCTCCACTGGAAAATCAGTTCATAAATTCCAAAGGTAAAAATCTTGAGTGATGATGATATGGTACAACAGTAACAAGGGAATCCTATTTTTCCAGCTAGACAATGGATGGCTATTGGCCTGGCTCTTGCTCTTCGGTCATTGTCAAACCTTATCTTTTCTGACACTTTTAGGGAATTGGCTCTTACCCTTCATTCATCCGGAACCTCCATCTTTACTTGTAGATAGATTAGTTATTTTTCCCTCTACTAGAAGATTTTTATCTTTTTCCTCTACTCTCGTCGGCTTCAACTCAGAGACAATGAGCCATAAACTCATTTTAAAACTTACTCGGATGGTGAATAAATTGTTACAACAGTTTCTAGGAGCTTCGAGTGAGGGCCCTGAGAAAGGGCATCGATAAATGGGAATATGGGATGATGCCTTGGAGGAAAGATAAGACAACCCTTTTTCACCTCAAGCTGCCACTTCCATGATTCCTGCATTGTCAGGAAAAAGCTTGAAAGACACCATTTTACCCTCTCGGGTCAATCTAGATGCCTTGTAAGGCAGGGAAGTTGAAAGCCCCACATTTCTCCCACGGAGATCAGGGTTTCAAATCACAGTTACGGTCGTATTTTTGGTTATTTCAGATTTACTTTGATTGCGGTCGTCGCTGACGCTATTGCGGCCGCCGCGGGTAACTCGGACGGCAGCGAAACCGTTATATCACGGCCGAAATCGCAGTCGCGGACTGTTTTTTAAAACCTTGATGGAGATAACCAAACTGATGAGTAGACTTCCATAGACTGTTATTAGCTGTCTAAAATGTCTTCTATTGCCCTAACTTCACTCCGTCCTAACGTGCCGGTGCAGCCCGTGGACCACCTCTTTTTATATCACTTTCATTCTCTTTCCAAATCTCCAGTACCCTGTAAACAATGATCTTGATTTTCCATTCTGATTGATCCTTAATAACAGGCAATGCTATTGTCTATTTATGTGGAAACTTCAAGTTGAAAGTAGCAAATACGTTTGATTGGATAGAAAACAGGCAATGTTAACTTCGAAGACTCCTTCAAACCATGCAGGATTAGTAATGTTCCTATCGATCTATCTTCTTTGATGGATACACTTTCATTTAAGAAGAGAAGGGTTGCTTTAATTGAAACATTAAGGATACGCATGCATTCAATGAAAATTCCTGTTTCATTAATGCTAGCAAATACTCCAAGGTTGCATATATATAATATATAGATGCATGGTTAGGTGTGCTTGAGTAGCTCGTGAGCAACCTAAACTCGAATTGATCAAAATTTGGTAAAAACTCGAGTTTCGTTGACTCAATTTGAATTTGAGCTCTGTCGTAACCGGTTTTCGTCCGGGTACGAATTTTTACTTGGCGGGAAAAATAAAATGAATAAATAAATGATTTTGATTTTTAAAAAAATATTTTGGGAGTCGCCATTGACCATTTTTTGGGTTAGGTAGGTCAAATACCTAAAAATAATCTTTTAAAATAGTTTTGAATAAAACATAATTTAGAAGATAAAACTGATCTGCGTATAACCAAAAATTTTAGTAAAAAAATGATTCGTGGTCGATTACGTTTAGGGAAGGATTAGCACCCCTATAACGCCCAAAATTGGTACTCATTAATTATAAATTGTCTCTATTATTGGAAATTTTAAGAATTCAAAAATATATTTAATTTATAATCTTGTTATTTCAAATTTATTAATATAATTTTAATAAAATATATTAATATATATAAATAAGATATTTATTTATTTAGAAATATCAGAAAATGACTTCTAGGTGCTTTAAGACAGCTCATTTCTTAATATAAAAAATAAATAAACATTTATCTAAAAATAATTAAAAAATATATAATTTTAAAATATTTATTTTAAAAATATCAGAAAATGAACATCCAGTTGCTTTAAGACTGCCATTTCTTAATATTGAAAAATAAATAAATATTATTTATAAAATTAATCAAATAATATAATATTAATATGACTAAAATTAAAGAAATATAAAATGAAGAAAAATATAATAATATAAATAAAACTGTATATATATTTGATTTCATAAATACAATATTTAATTAAATATATTTTTATATAACTAAAATAATAAAATAATAATTAAATTACTAATTTAAACATATTGTATTTTAAAGGATAATAATTTGCAAAATAATTACTGAAATAAATGGAATTAAAATAACAAGAATGAAATGTAAAATATTAAAATTTATATTTCTAACTCGAAATATTATAAGATTTAAGTGAGTAAAAGTGTAATTTACCCTAATTAATTTACCAGTGACTAAAATAATAATTATTAAAACCTAAGGGACTAAATTTATTATTTATCCTAAAGATATATAAACACTGATAATGACTAAATTATAAATAAATAAAATTTGGAAACAAAATCAAAATACATAAAAATTCAATTACAATGACTAAGATAGAATTTTATAAAACCCAGAGTATTACGGACAAGGTTTTCCCATGTGGGAAATTACGCAGGTACCCTCCCCAAAACGGCGTCGTTTGGGGAGGGGTTTTAATAACCCAAATGGCCGGTCCCTTCTCCATTCCCCACCATTTTTCTTTTCTTCTTCTCTCTCTAAGAGAGAGATGTCAAATGCTCTCCCCTCTCTCTAAGTTTCCCTCGCCGGAGGGGAAACCCGGCCACCGTTGGCCACCTTGTTCCGGCGTCGATCGTCGCCGTCGGCCACCGTTCACGGTGGCCGGAACTTGGAAAAATAGCCTAAACCGAACCCCTGTTTTCCCTAAACCCAAATCTATTTTTTTGTCTCTTAAAACTCTTTCAATAGACATAGATCTAAACGAAAACCGAAGGTTTACCTCGGTTTACACACAAGTTTCCGACGTCGTTTGGTATCTCCGGAGTAAGTTCGTTTCTCATTAACTTTTCTTTCGGTTTTTCCCGTCTTATTTGCTGTTGGGGTTGCTGTCGTTGTGGTTGTATATGTGCTTGCTTCGTTGTTTGTTATTTTGCTCTCGGTTTTCTGTCTCTTCCGTTGGTTGCTGTCCTCCTCTGTTGTTGTCTGTATTTCTCTCTTTTGGTTGCCCTCTCTTCCCTTTTTTTTTGCAGGTGATCGGTGATGGCTTTTATAGCCTCACCGGTGTTTGGCTCGGACCAGTCCAAAGGGGGAAGTTTGGTGAGTCACCGAACATGTGGTGACTCACTAAAGATGTGTGGACGGACTTTGTTGTAACAGCAGGGCTTCTGGAGTCCTCGGCTATTGTGGAGTCGTGGCAGTGGGCGTCGGCAGCATGCATTGGACCACCTGGCAGAGGCGTGGCGGCTGGAAGCTTGGATATAACTGAGGCGGCGGCTGAAGCTAGGGTTAGAAAACCCTAGCTGAAGCCCTAAATTAATTTAGGTTTCCATTTGGGTCTGGGTCGATTCTGATTGGGCATGTGTTGTAAACGGGCCTTCGGGTCTTTGGGCTTGTAATTATTTTTTTAAATAATAATATTAATAATAATATATAATAAAAATAATAAAAATTTTAATAATCATAATAATAATAACTATATGAAAAAATTAGTGTTTACAAGCTCGACTCGAGACTTTAACGAATTGAGTTCAGCAGAGTCCAACTCGGCTCGATAAGTTCGCGAGCAGCTCGATAATTTTTTTATATATAATTTTTTAGTAGTTATCTTAAAAAAGTATTTCATTAAAAAATACTAATTAACTAATAGATACTAAAAATCATGATAAATTGTTAATCTATTAATTTTCTCATAAACAACACAAAATGCTAAATTATTAATTAATATTTTACTACTCCCAAAAATCAAACCCTATTAGAATTTAGACTTTAAAATTACTTCATACACTCTTTTGATAATTTTTAGGGTTAAATTTATAATTTATGTTTATATTAATCTCTATATCTTATGAGTAGATTTTACCTATAGTTAAGAAAATAAGATAAAATTTTCGGTAAGCCTAACGAGCAACGAACATTGAGCTTAAGAACCAACCAACATAACCAGGAACAAGTTTTTTTAATGATCATGAGTTGAGCAAAATTTTAATGAACTTAATGAACAACGAGTCGAGTCTAGTAGAGCAATAATTTTTTTTAACGAGCACGAATCGAACACTGTCCTACTCGCGATCGACTCGCTCGATAAGCACCCTATGCATGGTCATACTCATGGCCAAATCCTGGTTGTCATCATAGAATGAAAAACGGTAGAGGCATAAGTGATATAATTCAAAATTTGATTTCAAATTACAGCTAAAAACTCATTCAAAGAAATGGAAATTACCCGCAACAATGGGATGCAAAAGATATTTTATTCCAATCTTCTAGTTCTCCAAAGCAAAAGAGTATTCTTGTTTTGTGAGAAAATTTTACCACTAAATCACATGCATCAGTGCTACAAATGTCGTTTCTCACACGGAATCAGTCTCATCATCGTCACGTGAAAGTATGCATGGACATACCATCAATAACCAATCGCAATGGCTAAAAATTTTCCATGCTTTTCATTCTATATAATGAGCGAGACTCACTCTTCAAGCTCAGCTTAATACGCTTCCAGGCCTAAAATAAGAGTGGCAAAAGAATGTTTCTCCCAATCATTTTCTCCTTATCTTTCCTATTTTCCTCCTCCAACGCAGCGGACTTCTGCGTTGGGGACTTAAATGGTCCTCAAGGCCCTGCAGGTTACTCTTGCAAGAAGGCTGAAACGGTCACCGTAAACGATTTCGTTTACTCCGGCCTCGGTGCCACAGGCAACACTTCAAACCTCATAAAAGCTGCCGTAACACGGCCTTTTCGGCTCAATTCCCCGGTGTTAATGGACTTGGCATTTCAATGGCTCGTCTGGATTTGGCTGCTGGCGGTGTGATTCCTATGCATACACACGCTGGGGCCTCGGAACTCCTTGTTGTCGTTCAAGGCCAAATTTGTGCTGGATTCATATCCTCAGCCAACAAGGTTTACTTCAAAACTCTGAACAAGGGAGATATTATGGTCTTCCCACAAGGTTTATTGCATTTCCAAATCAATGCAGGCAAAACTCAAGCCTTGGCATTTGTATCCTTTAGCAGTCCCAGCCCTGGTCTCCAAATCCTTGACTTTGCCTTGTTTGGAGATGATTTGCCCACAGACATTATACAAGATACTACTTTCCTCGATGCTGCTCAGATTAAGAAGCTGAAGGGTGTTCTTGGTGGAACTGGTTAAGATAATATAAATTTGTTGTATCGTTTCTTGTCTTCCATAAATTTCGTGTTTTCGAGTTAATGGTTGTTTGTTTCAAATTGATAGCGAACGAGTGTGTATTGTTGTGCTTCTTTGTGTTTCTTCTCCCAGTTCATTTGTATTTTGGTAGGGTAATTTCTGAGAATTTATAATGTAATAAGAAAAGGAACCAGTTTCTTCCCTCGGTTTGCAAATCTTTAAATGAATGCAATTTGTGTTGCTTATGTTTTCTTAAATGGGAAATAACCAAACTTCATTCTTCTCCAAGAATGATGGAGAGTAGCCTTTAGGGAGTGCACTTGTTTGGACATAATGGAATACTGCACTGACAGCAGAAACAGTATTTTAGTTGAACTCCAATTTCAACATATTTTGGTTTGAAGTTGGTGACCATTAAAAAATTACTATATCACATTATTCTTTAATAAAGATAGAATGAACTTAACTAGATGATCATCTGCTTATAAAATTTAAAAACTAAATGATCAAAATTTCAAAACTAAACTCTTACAGTTCAAATACAAAAAAATTGTTTTGGAAATAAATAACAAGGTTATTTTGGGTTAGTTGCAGACTAGCAGTTCAGGAAATTATTAAACAAAAAGTCGGTGCAGTTTGTTGCCCTTGTTCAACTCTCTTGAAGAAATGGAAACTGCAAACCATCCGGAAAGGTCCAGTTCGATAATTTTAAAGTGAAGCTTCAGTTAAACTCGGTGCAGTTTGTTGCCCTTGTTGCCACTTGGAACAGCAAAACCAGCGATGTTAGGAGTTCCAGCAGCAGCAAACTGTAGGTCAGACAAGGAGAAAGACTGGCAAGGAGGGTTTAGTAGATTAGTCGATGATAATGATGTCGATGGTCTGGTGGTAGTTGATTTTTACAAGGTGGATGCAGAGGTGGAAGGCAGCCAGATGGTTACGATGCGGTTGAGTTGACGTCGGAGCTGCTTGTGGATCCCTGAGCCACTGTGCTTTGGTTGGTGTTGGCTACTCTCCTAGATATCTCAGCTACATAGTTTCTCAAAGGGTTATAGCCCTTCTAGTCGACTAACAAGTTATTGCATTTCTTATTGTAGGGATCTTTTGGCTTTGCGAAATCTTTGACAGAGGGAGCAGCCACTGCATCAGCTAGACTTGTAAAGGACTTCGATTTGCCATTACAAAACTGGGATATGCATCTTCTGAAATAAAGCAAAACCACAAAGAATAAGATACTGAAGCACCCCAAGAACAAGTATGCAAAATCAAAGCAGTCCTTTTAAGAGAACATACCGGTACTCTACACTCACACCTGATCACATTGGTTAATAGCAGGTAATATTGCAACATGAAAGCAAACTCCCTTGAAATGCTTTAGTGGCATGAGATGATCAAGAGTGCAACTTCAACGAGTGATTGGCGGTCAGATATTCTAATTTTACAAGTGCATCTAAGGATTATCATTTAAGCAAGTAAATAGAGTGCAAGCAAGTACTAAAGGCGTACTTTACCCCTTTTTTAAATGTATGTGATACCAATGCAGTTGTCCTCGAATTTGGGAATTAAGGAGAAAAAGGAAAGCAAATCTTTAATCTAATATATAGTGGCTCAAAGACGATAGCCTTAAACCCAAACTGTTCTTTAGCTTAAGCATTGGAATGGGTCCAAAGTTGTGGGGATAAAGCCCAAGCCTTTGAACTATTTGTCTCCTGTCGCGAAATGATATTTCGCCTAACATGACCAAGCAGTGAGCCAGGTGATCTCTAACCCGAAAACCCTAGTATTTACCAGTATCATCGAAATACCCCATTTTTATATCAGACAGCAGAAAGATCTTGTTCTTACTTATTTCAAATTTGTTTCAATCTCAATCGTTCAAATGCTCAGTAATCATTCCTATGGTCTGTTGTGGTTATTGAATGCTTGAGATTTATCTGAGGGGCTTTTGGCTTTTTTTATTGTTAGATACTAGTCATTTGGTTTGATTTTTGGATCGTTTTGATATGGTTCCGTATTTGGATTTCTCACAATCATCAGATAGGTTTCAAATAGCGGAACGAAATCGCTATTGCCGTCGTTATTTCCTGGTATTTTCACCGTTCCAAAACTGATATTGTTCAAAAAAATAGTGTGACGGGAATCACACCAATAACGGTCGATAACTGTCGCAGCTAACGACCCGTGATTCCCGTTATTTTTCATTTACACCCAGTCAATAGTAAACTCAAAATAAAGCTTCATATTTTCTCTCAAATTTCATTGCCCAAACTCAAAATCAAACAAGAAAAAAGTCTTTCACTTTGAGGAGTACCTGATTATTTTATCTTTCTTCTTTCTGTAACATGCAGCAGCAAAGTCAAGTTTTTTTTGGGTATTTTTGGTAGGAATCAATCAAAGAAAATTTAAGAACATAAAAAAATAAAGAAAAAAATGAACGAATTTTAACAAATAAAACCTATATTTTTCACAAAATTTGCTCTGTGTTTCTGCCTCCCTTCTCACTCATGCACGATACAAAAGAAGGAGAAGGAGAAGAAGAAGAAGGGATTTAATAATTTTTTAGTTATATTTTATGTTTTAAATAATTATTTTTTTACTTTTAATGTTTTGGGTTTGGACCAAAATAGATCCAATAAGTTAATTATATTTGAGATTTAATATTTTTTACTTATAATGTTATAGGTTTTTTTTTTTAAATAAATAATGGTTATTTTTAATTTATGAATTTTAATTTATAATATGTGTCGGCTTTTGCAAGGGCCGGTGACTTTGGAATGGCAAAGATATTGCTTGCTGAGATAGTGAGATTCAGTCTGATGGAGTGGGAATCAGCGTTTTTGTTGTTCTCCTGATAATTAGAAGAGGCGTTTTCAATAAAATGTTATATGTTGGTTGTACACCTGATGATGTTACTGTGCAATCTTTAGTATCTTGCCTTTTCAAAGCCGGAATGCCTATTGAAGCCTCTCGTATTAGCACAATAGTATATCACAATACATGAAGTAGGCAAGTTCATCATCCTTGGATGACAATGCTGCTTTGGGGATAAATAGAGGTGTGCCTGTAGCTGTTTACTAGAAAAGCTTCCCATCGTTGAACTTGGTGTCTTACTGTGATGTTGAGAAGGCTTCTTCGTCATGCACAAAGTACCCAGCTGGAAGCCCAAATTACCTTCCATTCAGTAAGTGTCTTTGTTTTCTTTTAGTTTAGATCATAAACTTCAATCATGTGCTTTAACAAACTTATAAATACTGCAATTGAATGATTTTCTCTGTCTCCCTCTTTTTCATAACGTAGCCTTTATAAATAATGCAAATGATACTCTTTATATGTAGAAAGTAAGAAATTCGGGTTTGTGCCTGGAACAATTTTAATCACTGTGCAGTTCAACTAGTACATTAATTCTGCTTTCCCTTTCAGTCAACAATGCTCATTAATTGTAGTAGTATTTTATTTTTAACCACACTGGGGCCTGTTATCGAAGAGAAAATAATGTGATCCTCTATGCTGGAGTTTTTCTTTTCTTGGATATATGCATCTTAAGTCAGCATTAGTGGAAATCATGTTAGTAAGGGAGTTGGTGCTGATGCAATCTGATTTATAATCCTGTTTTTTAAATATTCTGCAAACTTATAATAGTAAATGTTATCTTGAAGATAGAGGAGAGGATTGCCTTATTAGTTCAATGCTTTTGCCCCAATTGGTAAAATCTGAATAGTTAGCATAATTTTCTTAGATTATTTGTCAAGTAATCAAGCTCAAGCTCAAGCTCATAACCATTGAGGGTTGTGAAACTTCCCCCTTTTTTTAGTTCATGATCGTATTTTGAAAGCATCTTTTTGTTAACCTTATTTGAAGGATTGGTGTCAGGTTGTGTTTAGCACTTGCCTGATTATTCTTAACACATATTTTTCTTGTTTTATTGATTATTCTCAACACTTTTTTCTTGTTCCTATGGGCTTGCAGGATAGCAGATAAGTGTTTTTCCTTGTATCGGCGGAACCATAGCAATAGCCGTGATCACCGATTACATTTTGAGGGTGTTATAACAGATTTAAAGCAGCTACATCTTAAATTTGAACGGGGTAGAGCATCAACAATGAAGATATTTTTGGCTTTAAATGCTGGACAATGCTAAAAAAACTGGTATGACTCAAAATGAGTCAAAGGTGCCACGAGGTTGACGTCCTTGCAGTTGTGTATGTCAAATGAAATCTCCAGGCATGGTAATGTAAAACAAAGCAGAACATGAAAAAATATCAAGGAATTGTTTAGATTTTGTTTTTCCTTCTATTATCTGGACAATTCGACGAATCGGATTGAAATCAGTGTGAAGAAGACTCATGCGAGGACTAATCAAGCACTACTAAATAGTAATGTCCACAAGGAAAGGAAAAAAGATCGTCTCTGTAGGAACTAAGTAGGAAGTTGGGCCGGAACTAGAGGACTCTGTGAGACCCCATTTCCTGTCTACCTCTCTGAATCCTTAGTTTTCTGAGCAGTAGAGACTCGCGCTTTAGCCGCTTCATTTGAAGGAGGGCTTACAGAAGTCACAGCACCAGAAAGTGACAATAGGCAAATCAACATAAATGCAAGAAAAAGAGGAAACTGTACATCAAGCCTGTATAGCGGGACAGAGAAAAGAACATTCTCTGATTTTTCCCTTTGCTTTACCTTAATCTTTAATGTGTACAGAAATTTAGGTATTTTCAAGAATGAATGAAATGTATTTCAGGAGCATGTAGATCTTCAATAAAGGGATTTCAAATGATAACTGTCTAACGTATCTCACATTAAAATCTCTGTTCACAAGGATTTTCTGTCTTTGACTGGTTCAAATATTAAAGGGTAAAATTTATTTTTCAATGTTTGCAAGTTATCAGGCATGAAGCACTCGATGACAATTTACATGTCTTTGTTGCATACAATGTATTTGCATATGTCCTGGACCTTAGCATCTTGAACCAGATCATGAACCATCCAACCCGTTCGAGAAACACAAGTACAATATCCATAGACCATTGCTAGAGTGCTTTAATGAAGATCGTTCTTCGATCAGGATCAAGCAACAACAGGTATGATGCGCATGTTGCTACGCCTTTCAAGAAAATCAGAGCTATGGGCATAAATACAAAGAATTAAACGCTTGATATATATTTACAGTTCATGATTTCATCCAGGAAGGCTCACCACACATGTTTTTGCCCATCTCGATCTTGAAGTAGCCATTGTCACCCCATTTTGCTCCCCATGAGTTCTTAATGAGCCAATAATGAACCCCATTTTCAACTCCATATCCAACTGCAAGAACAGCGTGGTTCACATCCTGCCAAACAACCAAAACACAATCTCGAATCAGATGAGGACATTACGCAGCTAAAAATACAGTCCTTTCCAACTCAGCAAAATAAACGTGATGGAAGGGACTTGCCGTAGAAGTGCTGCCACATTTATCATTGGTGTAAACCCCGCTCTTGTAAACACGGAAATCAGATATAACCTCAAATGCCACACTAGCTGGCCGAACCACGCCAACTGCATGCTTTAATTCAGCTTCAGAACCCTGTGTTTGATTGTATAGATTAGGACATTCCAAAAGATAAAATGTAATATAATCCAACACATTTGGAAAATGTTGTATAAACCAACCAAGGTTATGTTAACAGAGTCAATGACTTGGACACCAACATTTTCAGATGAGAAATTGCATTGATAGTCTTTGCCGTGTAAGGGTACGCCTCCTCCATATCAAGGCCGCCATTATATTTAATATATTCAAAGGCTTGAGATGGCAACCCACCATTGCAACCAAAGTTGTAAAAGGCTCCAGCACAGTCCACAAGCTGCTGCTCAGAAAGGTAGATTGCTTTCCCAAATGCCTGATGATAAGCTGCTCCAGTGGTACTGCAATATGCAAATGCATAAGCTCAAAAGTTTTTTTTTAAAATTGAAGCCAAAATTTAGTAGCTCAGTAAAAAAATACTTTGAAATCATAACCGAAAGCTAACCTGAAAGTCCAGCAAGATCCACAGAATCCCTGATTTTTGACCGATATCATATCATTATCATATATCAGATGATTACCATTAGCCAAGAGAGCTGCATTCTTATTTCATATGGTGTTCGTAGGAGCTATTATCGACCCTATATTTCGGGTTTATATGCTTAGTTATCAATACTGCAATACCAAGTATATTGTTCATAAGCCAAAGCAACTAAAAGAAAATTAATTATTATAAAAAAGCATTGTTAAAAACCCTTAATCTTCACGTAGTAATCAAAAGTACCGATTCAGGAAGGACGATATCAGTGAGTTGGTGATTGCGCTTTGTGGTAGCAGAGCAATTTTGAGCAGCTCCCAACCTATGTTTTCGAAACTCTTACCATGTTAAATCAGCAAACTCTGCACCATTAGAATCAATAAACAAAATAAAAAAATCAGTTCATAATTGAATACAAATTTGCCACCAAGCTGAAGGACAGTAATCAAGAACAGTAAGTCGCAGTTTCATCCAGTGAAGACAAGTTCAGTTATCTAAAGTTAACGTGTCAGGCTACAGTTGGTCGGTAACCAAGCATAACGGAACTCAACTGAACTAAATCAGATCCTATTTAAGAAAGTCTGACTCAGAAACAGATCTGTAACTTCAATACTTAAAAAAGAAAGCAAGAAATACCGTACCATTAACAGTCAGACTGTAAGGCAATCTTTTCTGGTTTGTAGATCTGATTAAATCCAAATTATCTTTGAAAATCTGAAACCTTAGCTTCATCTCGTCGACATTCTCGTACGTTTTCCCGAGCCTACAAAAAAAATTCATCTCAATTTCCAGCATTTTTTCCTTCTGGAAAACGGAAGTAAAGATAACGTGTAACGATGAAACGTTGAGTTACTTGTAAGAGATACGGGCGAAGGAGATAGCATGACGAGTGTGACCGATGACACGACAGAGGACTGGAATCCTCGTAGGCCATCGGACACCATCCGAATGGGGTTGGACTCCTCAAAGGTTGATGCTCCGGCGGTGCAAGATAGTAAAAAGATGATCGAGGACAAAGCGAGCCATTATTGTGTTTCCTTTTATGGGTCCTCTGTTTATCTGTATCTGTGATTCTTAGCTACTTTTTTGTAGAGAAACTTAAAGCCGAAGGCCCAAACCTAGGTAGGCAGGTTCGTGATTCGAAATAGTAATAAGGATCGACCCATTGGGATAAATCCGTAAATGAAAGCAATATTTTAAAGTTATGCATATATTTTAGATATTTGGGAATAAATAGGTTTAAAAAAAGTTTGGCCCTTAAATATATTACTTTTCTGTTTTGCTCCTTACTTTTTTTAGTTTCACTGTATTTTTCTTTATTTACGAAATTGAAGGGCTTCGATACCCGTGAAATCTAGTACTGGTTGCGGACTAGCTGGAACTGAAAAAGATCTTGCTTTTCTTAAAAGCCTTAATGAAATACATTATATCAAGAAAAATGTTTTAATGTTTAAATTTTTTTTATTAAAACGAGATGTTTAGTGTTTTTTTATTATAATTTTAGGTGTTTATATCGTTTTTTTTTTAATTTTTTTAATAATCAAGAAATTATTTTTAATTAAAATAAGAAAAAAGTTTAACTTATTTATAAAAAAACTATTTTTTATTGAAATTATAAAAAACCCTAAAACTATCTCGTTTCAACCCTCATTACCAACCGTCGTCGGTCATCTCTGACCAACATCGTCATCGCCGAACGGTTACCCACCCATCGCCACCCACCCATTGATCAATCGTCATCATTATCGTCTCCAAAAATCTCTAAATCTAAAATCTCTAATTTTCAATTTCAATTTCTTAACCCAAACGGTCGTCTGCCATCTCTGGCCATCATCTTCGTCGCCGGTGAAACCTCGTACAGAGAAAAGTGGGTTGCTTAATGTGTCATGTCAGCGTAAATTAACAGAATTATCGATCAATAACAAAAAATGTTGGTCAAATGCCACATTGATCGAAAAAGAACGAGGGCCAATTGTTTTTTTTTTTAAGTTCATGGCGTCTAATGACTTTTTGCCTAAATAAAATCAATATTTTAAAGTCATGTACATATTTTAGATATTTGGGAATAAATAGGTTTAATGAAAGTTCGGCCCTTGAAATATATTATTTTCTATTTGTCTCCTTACTGTGTTTTCAGTTTCACTGTATTTTTCTTTATTTGCGAAATGGAAGAGCTTCGATACCCGTGAAACCTCGTATTGGTTGCGGGCCAGATGCAATTGAAAAAGATAATGAGATTTGAGAAAAAATATTTTTTAAATAATGAGATTTGGATTGTAATATATTTATTCGAAAAATAGATTTGAATTATAATCTTTTAGATATATAGATAATAATATCAATAAATTAAAATGAAATTTACGTTAACTATTTATTACTTATTTAACATAAAAAATATTCGTAGATAATCAAGACGATAGAATATATAGAATCCAGAGATTGTTGAAAGTCATGGGCGGCTGCATTATTCATTAGCAGCCGGCAACTATAAAAAATTAATTAGGAGCCAAAATTGTTGAAAATTAGTAAGGGTAAAATACTCAATTTTAGTCACTAAAATTTAGGGTATTTACAAATTAGCCCTTAAGTTTCAATTATAAATACCCTAGCTCATTTAGCTTCAAAACCATCCCAAAGTATTCTAGCTTTCTTCCAATATTAGAGAGAATTTAGAGAGTTTCTTGAGAGTTGTTTTCTTTTTTTATCAAGAGATAATTATCATTGTTTTCTCCTTGGTAGATCGAGAGAGGTTGTAATTCCTATTTTCTCATAGTGAAATTATTCTATCGTTGCCCATGGTTTTTACCCTATATTATTTAGGGTTTTTTCACGTAAATTTTGTGTCTCTTTTATCTTCATTTTTATTTTCTCAAATTATCAGTTGCGATTTTGCTCTATCCGATAGCCGTCTTGCGCAACAATTGGTATTTGAGCCAGATTTGAGTGTGTAATATATGCTTATTGTCTTTGTGGTTGCCACCAAAAGGTGGATCTTCCAACATAAGAAAGTAAGAAGTTATTACCCATTCTTTGAAGGTTCTAGAGGACTATTCACGATAGTGAAATAGTGGGAGCTATCTGTAAAAGAAGCTATGGCAACGAAATTTGATATTGAAAAATTCAATGGGAGAAATTTCTCATTGTGGAAATTGAATATGAAGGCCATCCTGAGAAAAGACGGTTGTCTAGCAGTGTGGATTTCACAGATGACAACAAATGGATCGAAATAGATGAGAATGTTATGGAAAACTTTCATCTAGCATTAGCAGATGAAGTATTGTCAAGCATCGAGGAGAAAAAGACAGCTAAGGAGATATGGGATCATCTCACCAAATTGTACGAGGCCACATCGCTGCACAATAAAATTTTCCTTAAGAGAAAATTGTACACTATCCGTATGTCATAATCTACTTCAGTGACGGAGCACTTAAATACACTGAACACATTATTTTCTCAGCTTACATCCTTAAGCTGTAAAATAGGAGAACAAGAACGTGCTGAACTTCTACTTCAAAGTCTACCTGATTCGTATGATCAACTCATCATCAACATGACAAACAGTAATGTCATCAGTCTAGTATTCGATGACGTTGCAGCTGCTGTTCTACAAGAAGAAAATCGGCGCAAAAACAAGGAAGACATATAAGTAAATCTGCAACAAGCAGAAGCATTGGCAACGATGAGAGGGAGATCAACATAACAGTCACAAACATGGTAGATCGACGTCGAG